CCGCCGGGCCCCCCCTGCCCTGTTAAGATTGGGTGTGCCCCTATCCCCCCCCCCCCCCCCCCCCTTTTTTAGGGGGGGGGGGGGGGGGGGGGGCTTTTTAGCCCTAATAGTAGCTAACTCGCTTAACAGGATCATACTACACCTCCGTCCAAGGTCAGTGCCTGAGGGCAACCACTGCCTGAAGAGAGCGAGGTCTTTTGAACTTGATAGATATGAAGCATGACGCGTGCCATCTTAAACCTGTTAAGGCTGAAGATGTGCTCTCCCAAAAGTCAGAGCCCCGGGGACAAAGAGCATAGGGAACACAGTGGACAAACGGGAGCACCACTCATTTGCACTACCAATGTGAGTTCCCACATTTGTGTATATAATATATAGCATTATAACCATCCACTGAAATAACCTCACAGAGTCAAATTCAACCTGTAAGGTGGTACTGGTTTCTATTTAACTGCTTGTTCCACAATGGCCAGAGGGACGAGTGGGAGGAGCCCCTTTATGACGGCGTACCGCCAGTCTGTGAACCCCACGGACATGGATGTGAACACCTTTGCTTCAAAGCGCAGGCTGAACCGCCATTCATATCCGTCGAGCTACATCCTATTAATCTGCCCTGATATTTTACATGAAGCAGCTCACGGTTGGGGGAGGAGGTGACGGGGGAGGGGCCAGAGGCCCCGAATGGGCTCGCTTGTCAGCAGCTTGTGAGTGATCATACAACAACGAATGCGCAGAGAGGGAAGCATTGTTTGAGTTTGTGCTCCCCTCTTGTTTCTCCTCTCTCCCTCTCTGCCCCCTGTCTCTCCCCTCCATCCTTCACTCGCCTCTCTCACTTGACATGCACACCGGGTGAGCACACAGGGGGGGGGTGAGAGAAAGAAATGATGCTTGGCAGTCATAAATCCACAGGATGTAATTCACAAGCTATTCACTATTAATTCATGGAGTGTTTGTAAATTGTGGTTAACAGAAGGGAAAAGCAGCCCGAATGCAAAGCAAATTAGCCTCTAATTAGATTGTGATTCGTGAAATAGCCTTTTCAAAAGTGCTGACGCAATTAATAGCATGTGAAATAGCGAATTAATCCAACGCCGCATTATACGACGCACTCGTGTTTGCTTTGAAAAAAAACATAATGCCATTATCGCCAACGTGACACCGTGCAAACGGGGCTTCTCCTCAGATGTGGTCGCCGGGGCCGAGCACATCGCGGCGGAAGAAGAAGCCGGTGAGTGAGGAGGAAAGTCGGGGGACGAGGCAGAGACAGGCATCGCATTTGTTCCAACCAGTGTGAGATTTTCTGATTATCGTGGTGCAGGGACGCGACGGACTCACTGTGGTTTTATTGTGACTTCCTGTGCCTGTTTGTGTAACTTTCCTGCTAACCTGAATGATATTTGTGTGCGTGCTTGTTATGGGGCCCTTTGCTGCTTTGCGATTCCAAAATGTGAGTGTTTCCTTCAGTCGCAGAGCAGATTGAAAGGCTCCGAGTCGCTGTCGGGAGGAATGCGCACGTCTTTTAATATTGCTCGGCAGACACTCGCTTTTCAGATACTCCTCGTGCACTCCTCTGTGTGTGGGAACATGCGCCTGTGTCTTGGCACGCGCATGCTTTTTATCAGGTATGTGTAGCAGTCAAACTGACTGATTGTGATTGCAGTGGCGGCAGAGATTGTGATGAAGCTGCGCGTGTGCTGGGGGTGAATAATCAGCATCCCTCTGAGGTAATGGGGACCAGGAGGGAGGGAGGGGAGGGCCCTGCATCAGAGGTCCAGTCTGTGTGTGTATGGGGGAGGTGGGCTGGGGCAGCGAGACCCTGCCTCCTGGAACCCTTGCGTTCAGAGAAGCTTCATGCCTAATGGGGGGCAGAGGAGTTAATTCCGCTGCGCCGAAGCTTTATCTCATTTTCATACATATGAACGCGCGCCAGGCCGAGATCGATTACCGCAAGCAAATTGAAATGCCTGGGACCAAGGAGGGCCTGCGGAGAGGAAAGCACAGAAAGGCATTGAAAGGTGGGGGAGGTGCTGTGCAATGTGCATGTGTCTATGAATTTCTGAGAGAGTGTATAAGGAAGGCAACATTCTCCGATATGGATGGAGAGACACAAATCACAACCGCATACTGATTTTCTCCCTGCCTGCATACACACACACACACCTATTATTTAGTGTCACGGATGACAACTCACTCCGGTTGATGCCACCTTCCTTTTGAAAGATATTGCCGATGGGAGGTAGTGAGCAAACTCAGAGGTCCTGATGGCTCACTGAACGATTAGTCTTCAAACAGGCTTCCCCCCCTATTTTCTTTATCTTTCGGTCTACATGAGCGCCCGCTAACATACACACAATTAGTTTCTTATTCTATGTCCCTTTCCCGCTCTCTCTCATTAAACATACCATAAAACAAATGTCCACGTCATTAGCCCTATTCTGTATCGGCACCGTCATTGACTCCCGATGGTCATTTTTGGCTCTCGACTAAAGTGCTCGCTGCTTCATTACTTTCTTTCCTCCCTTCCTCTCCATCTTTCTAGTTCGGAGCTGTAGCCCTGTCCGTGGGCCTCTCTCACAGGCAGAGTTTTCAATACCTCCTTCTCTTGACTCTCGGCATTTCCTTTGCCGCTCCCGTCAGCGACATTTGGTACAGCCCGCGTGCACACGTCACACACACTGTAGTGAGGAAGTATGAAGGCTGTGATAACGCTTTTCATTGCTTCGGCTCTAATCCGGGGCACATTGGGTTTGAAATGAAAAGGTCAACGTGATGTCAGTCACCTGACCTCCACCCAAATTAAAGTCCCTGAACCAAGCAATACGAGCACCACAGGGGAAGACACCAAACGTCTGCTCACTTCATTTCAGTTCCAACGTGCTGCAACACAGAGCCAAACCAAATGGAACATTTTAAAAAACACTGTTGTAATACTGCCCTGTTGCTACAACTGAATGTTTAAATACAAGGTTTTCCACCGTCTGACAACCACAAAACACTCACCAGCCATTTCTCAGTCAACAGTCTCGACGAACCACCACCACCATCACACCATTGAGCAAGGCCTTTAAAGCCCAACTGCTCCAAGTAAAGATAAGAATGTGGTTGTAAAAGACAGCTTCCAGGTGTGAATGTAAACTATGAAGCAGGGTGTTCCTGGAAAAGCAACTCTCCCCTGTGTAAAATAAAAAAACCAGAAGCTCTACACAAGAAAACATTCTTGTTCTCTCCTTAAGTTCTCTTTAAATACTATTTGTGACAGAGTATTGTACATACAGAGAGAGCGTACACACATTTTGGACTGAATTATAATGACGCCTGGAGAGGTCTGAATTTATTTCCATCTAAAATCACTCAAGCACAAGAACAGTGGCATTAAATGCGTATTCAAATCAGAAGCAGCTAGCTTTGAGTGGAGGCTTTGAAACTTGGATAATAGGCCGAGCTCACAGTCTAAGCTAGTGAAACACACACACGCACACACACACACACACACACACACAGGGAGGGCAATTAAATAGACGGGTCAGAGTTCGAGGCGAGCCGTGGTGACCTTTGTTAAAGGCCCAACAGCTACACCCAGATGGCCAAGCTGTTGCTCGCACTGCTGGAGGGTGGGCACGGGCATTGATGTAGATTTCTTAAGAAAGATCATAGGTACAACCATTTCTATTTCCTGAAGCAACTGAGGACAGCAGCAGCAACTCCAGGTGTTTTGTAAACATCTAAAAAGATACATGTCACAGCGGTGTTCCTTTAAGAGCTATTTCGACATCTTAAGACGACATCGAGGGCACGCGAGGACACCGTTCTTTCAGATTCACTCGCTGTGCCTTTGAGCTTAACTCCATGACCTTCTTTTATTCCACTCTTCCTCTGTGCCGTGCCCCCCCCTCCCCCACTCCTCTTTACCCACACCACACTCAGTGGGCTGTCTTGGTGCCCTCACGCTTCACTGCCTGGTGCTGCGGGCGTACTGGCCATCACTCTGCATCACTCTGCATTACACTCCACTGTATTTGCTCTGCTCTATGCGTCTGTGTGTGTGTACGTGTGTGTTGGAGAAACAGAGAGTCAAACGGCACAATTGTGCATGCATGTGCAAAACGTGTGTGTCCATCTGTGTACGAGAATGATAAATGCAGTGTGTGTAATGCATGAATAACGTGTGTGTGTGTGTGTGTGTGTCTTTACGGGTCAGTGTGCTGTTAATCAGAGCTGATTAATGCAGATCAGTGGTTGGAATGTAGTTTTAAATGAGAGGGGGCAGTTTACGTGACCATGACACTCACCTTTGGGTTTCTGATCGGCAGCCTGCAGGGAGAGAAGAGAGAGGAAAAGGAATTAGGAACTTCATTCAAATCTGTGAATAAAATCAAGAGCGCCGTGCCAAATTCTAGACTTTATTCGACAGGTAAAGGACTAGTGTTGCTGAGTAAAGTGATCCTATCGTGTTTCAGCTGCTGAAGTCAGTTGTCGTTGCTTCCGATTGTAATAAAAGTCCATCGTCACCTTTTTCTGAGCGACGTCCGTCTTGGTCTTTTCTTCTTGTTTTTTCTTTTTCTTTTCTTCCATCAAATGGTTCTCTTTCTTCTGTCGCTAGCTTCTCTCAGCTGCCCAAAGAGAAGAAGAGAGGGAGCAATGAATGAAACATGAAGGGCTGGAATTGGTGAGAAATATCCCTCACAAAAATTGTGTTCGCAAACACACGCCGTGCATGTTAACCTTCAACCCCTTCCCTTTTGATTTAAACAGATATCATGGTGCTTCTGAGAAACACTTTCCCTCATGGTCGAAAACTGTAGAATGAGAAGGTGGAATGGAGGGGTTATAAAGAGAAAGGGGAAAAAAGGCACACATGAGTTAGAGAGAGAGAGATAAATACAGAGAAAGAGAGAACAGTAAGAGTGTAAAGACCTGGTTTACAGACAGCAGGAAATGGCAAGAAGATAAAAAGTGAAGGGAAGGAAGTGAAGGCCAACAGACTGACAGAATAGGAAACAAGGTCTTTAAAAAAAAAAAAGAAATATCTGTTTCCAGTGGGCACGAGTCAAACTAGCTAGATAGCTAGCCCGAGGGGCCACGGAAACTAAGTGCTTCTTTTCAGCCCGTCTTTCCTTTGGCTCAGCTTTAGTGACACCTCCTGGAAACTATTAAGAGGCATGAGCTGGGCCAGAGGGACTGAATATGTGTGTGTGTGTGTTGACTCTTCACTAAGTGCAATGGACACTAATCTATGAAACAGGACTGTGCCATATCAAATCAATGATACCACTCTCCAAAACGTGCAAATACAATCAATCATCTTCATGCCAGTCTAAAATAATGGTCAATTCCTATTTGTTAGCCATCCTGCTAAGTGTGCACGCACACACACACCTTGTACAATAAGCCATTGTACTTCTTCCTTGTGAACTTAAAGAACATGACTCTCTTAAAATTTGTACTGAATTTCCGCTTCTAATGTTTGTGTGTGTCCTTTTTTAACAGTTGTTGGTTGATCATCTCACCTAATAACGGACTTTGTTAGCGTAATAGCTAAAGTATGATATCCAAATGTGGTCCGACAATTAATAGCAATTTAATTAAGTAAAAATGACAAATATTTACTGGTTCAAGTTTGATATCAAGATTTTAAAGTGCTGATCAGACAAAACAAGCAAAGCAAAAAGCTGAGAGATTAATCAATAATGGAAATCCTTAGTTGAAGCCCTTATGTTGATTCATATGTGCCAACACAGGGCTCGATGTGAATCAAATCCTGAATGTATGAATGAACCATTACGCTCATAACAGAAGATTAATGAAAGGCCCGCCTCCCACTGTGCTGCCCACTGGCACGGGGATGGAGGTGTCCATCAGGAAGACAGGACAAGCCTCGCAGAGACTCCCCGGTGGTGACGTTATGTCTCTATGGCCGTAAGAGAGAGCAAGAAAGAGAGAAAGTAGACAAGCGTTCGACCACACAGACAGAATAGGAGTAGAACGGACACCGAGCTGTTTTCCATTGGAATTAGCAATGTAGCTAACTCGCCAGCTGTAGGCTAGTTCCGCCATGCTTTAATGCTGCACTGGTTACACAAAATGAGCTGAACAAAGATGTCACTCATCTGGCGATACTCCTATTCTCTTGCTATGGGTTGGACTATACAGATAGGCAGAGACAGAGGCGGAGGAAGACGGACATTGAACACTTATCAACAGTGAGAAAGTTGGGTTATTTTGCCCAATCTGGATTTGCACTTCTTCATTCCCTGTTCCCCTTTTCATTGCTTCCTTTCTCTCGCCCTATCTCTCTTACATTCACACAGTCCTATTTTTCATACTGAGGAGTCTGTGTGTGTGTGTGTCATTGTGCTATCTCAGCAGCTAGGGGAAGGCCGCCCTCAGGTAATAAATAGGAGCTCAAATTATGTGTGGGGCAGAGAGAAAGAGAGAGGGGGGGGGGTACAAGCGGGAAGAAACTGGCTTTTGCCATTAACACTGTGTGCTAGATTTTTTTTTTTTTTATGCCGCCATCAGTTGCTAGTTACAGAGGCTACACCCACATGAATACTGTGTTCTGATCTCTCTGCTCTCTGTGCACACAATCTCCGTCCATGCTAACGCACCTGAAAATGGGCATCACGTGACCATTCACGTACACTGGGCAAGAGCGTGCCGGTGCAACAAAGTAAGCAGGTTGACAACACAGCCGCAATAACAGCATGCCTTCTCCGAATGTCGGCAGCAGCGGTATTATGAAATACAGGATTCTACCGCACAACAGCTGCTAACTATAGACGACAAGGTCTGCAACGCCTGCCATTCGTTTTCCATGTTGATTTAACCAACTGGTGGTCGGAGCTGATGTCATTTTTGTCTTCCCGAAAAGTGTCACATGACAGGGGTGTGACGAATCAGGGAAAGGGAGCTTCATGACTGATAAAACTAAATCAAGATGCAAACTTGAATCTGGGTCAGCAGCGCTTTTCAAAAGTCTATATTTAGGGGTTCGAAAACACCAGATTACCATGGACGCTAGGTGCGAACATAACAAAAGCAAAACGTATTAGGGTGGATGTAGCCAGAGCCTCTATACAGCTGTGTCATCTTTATAGTCTCACCTTTTACCCCCCAAGGGGTACAAATACTACAACAATACAACCAGATGCGCACAACTTTATATTTGTTATCTATCTTGTTCCAGAGATGTCAATACAATATAGAAGGCCTTCTGCCTTTTTACTGTCACGGTGGCAGCAGCCTGGTAGACAACAGTTGTCTTTTGAGCTGATGTAGCCAATGCCAAACTTAGCTTCCCTCCTGACCTCCTTTGCCCCATATATAACCGTACCTCCCCCTCACTCAGTGCTGCTGACACCAGCACGTCCTCCGCAATGACTCCGGGGTGTTCCTGTGCTGCCGTCCGGCATCAGGTTCACCCTCACTGGCAGTGTGCCACTGCAGTTAGGCAAAAGTGAGCCCAGCTTTACTGGCTTTTCTTAAGAATACAGACTTGAGTAGGAAAAACATCCCAAAACTGGGGCCGCTGGGACATTGTGAAGAAACTGCATTATGAGGCAGTATCCTCTCTTCCTGTGCTGCACAAAAACAGCTCCATACCCCGGGACTATAGGGCTTAAGCTATAGAGGAGGAGGCATGACAACAGCAACACACTGTACGGGAACGAGGGGGCTAGAAACTCACACAAACCCAGTCGCATTAACACACACACACACACACACACACACACACACTCTGTCTGATGCCTGTCCCTTTTTCTGCCAAGGATGTAAAGGAGAGGGAGGTGGGAGGAGGAGAAGGAGAGATGGGAATGTGGGGATGAGAGGACGGGAAAAAACAGGCGGAGGATGAAAGCAGACGCAGAGCAACACCAATTAAGAACGACAGCCGCCGGAGAACCAGACAGGGCACACAGAGCGAGAGAGAAGAGAGAGAGACTGGAAGAGGGGAAAAAAGAGAAAGAATCCTCACTGGAGCAATGGAGGAGTTGGGGGGACTGAACATAGCACTATTGAGGCTAGCAGACGAGGAGAGATGGGCGGGTGCGAGGAGGGGAGGTAAGAGAAAGAGGAACCAAAATATCCACGCACCTTGATCGCTAGTATCTAGAGATGCAGAGAAGAGCGAGGGGTGGTGGGGAAAACCATGCAAGGGTGATAGAAAAATTGAATAAACGGGGGAGTAGAAAGAGCCGCGCTCGTGTGAAGACTGAGCGAGACAAAAGGAGAGGGAGAGACACCGGGAGAGAACTCGAAAAGGGAGGGAGAGGTGGGGGGATTGGAACTTGAAGGAAAACATGCAGCTTCACGTGTTCTGAAAAGGCTGTCAGATCAACCGCAGACAACACCAATCACGGGGGAGAGGAGGAAGGAGACTTTCCTCTCTCTGCAAAAAAAAAAAAAAAAGAAAAAAGAAAAAGTAATATGGTTCGGTCCGTGGCCACGGAATGTGGTAAATCCACTCTCCACCAACACCACCAGCCATCCATTCCTGTGGCGTTAGGGGAAGCCACAGGGCTCTCCAGAGCCTTATTACATGGGACATTATCATCCTTACCTGGGGAATAATCCCTCAAAACCTGCTACCGACCTCAACCGCTCCCCACAAATGTGTGTGGGTGTGCATTTGTGTTGGGCCTGTAAATTCTACAGTTGATAAGCGAGCTATAACAATGTTGTTGTGCGCGTTTCCATCCCGCGGTCACGCCGACAGCCTCGCCGCCGGCCGCTTGGTTAGCGAGCATTCGGTGCACACCAGCTACGCTTTCAGCAGGTGGAGAGAGCGCCTCGTGGAGATACATGCAGCGCACGCCTTTGGCACTAGGCCGGACCTGCTCAATGGACTGTGGCAGAAATATTCTTGGTTGTTAGAATCCGTAGGCGAGGGACTGATTGAGGGCGAACGGGTGGGTGGAGAGAGAGTCAAAGAATCAGACGGCGAGAGGCAGACCTGCGTTATAAATAACAGCTTTGAGGTTTGCCTCCAGAAAATTAGCTCTCAGTGTCTTGCCTGCTTCCTCTGCCAAGTCGATATGAAACTTTAACACGATGGCAGCTCATTAAATAGGAAAAACAGCACAATGCACAAGACCAAGCAGGCCTGCTCCCCGCCAGCACCGCAGCCAAAGCTTATTGAATTCAAGGAGAAGCTGTCAAGCCGAGAGCGTCGGTGTGTGCGTTTCTCTGTACTTCGTACGCCTGCATCTTTTGCTTATTTGTTTTAATCTGTGCAGCCGCCTGGCAGCGTAGAAGCTGTGAGGTGACTCCCTGTCAAAAAGAAGGTTTGGATAGTTATGAGGTGCTATTCGCGTTAATATCTGATTAACCTTAAGTTCCTCGAAATTTGTACCGAGGAGGCCACATAAGAGCTTTGGTTGGCTGCTTGCGATTCAAACTGCAGTTTGATCACCATTCAGCCTCCAGTATTATCAGTCTGCAGCTAATCGTACAGGTTTATCTACATGTCAGTCAACAGTGTAAGCAATAACACAGACTCGGAAATAGCCTAGGAGGAGAGAGGTGAGGACATGAAAAAGCAGGGAGACGGATGGAAGTAATGGCCCCCTCTGTAAAGCAGCAGGGGTGACGGTAGAGATGTAGAAATACCAGGGAAAGCTAGCGTGGACATGTTTCCATGTTGAGCAACAAATGATCTAGGTTTGCTTTATTGTACTACTGAGAGTGAGCATCCCGAGATCAACCCTCTCAATATCTCTGCATAATAGCTCATGACATAGTTCTTACAAAACAGATAATACTACCTCGGCAATTTTGGTAGCAAAGGGTACAATATGATGATGAGTCAGGCTAAAAGCTTACTTGACAAATTATTTTGTATCCTCAGATACTCAGTCTCTTAATCAACAAAAAATAGCCTATGTCAAACTCTGGCTGCTGTTAAAACTTAATCTGCCCGCAATTTAACGAGGTCACAACTCCAACATCACAAGATACGTCTTGTTGGTAATTTCCAGCTAAGTCCTTAAAACACACTGAATGAAAACACTTGAACGTCATCGATTGCACTCGAGTTGATTATGGCAATAAAACAAACATTCCCAAGACAGCAAAAACAAACAAAAAAAGACCTGAGCTTACTAGCCATGGCCTCATCATAGGGGCGAGCAAAGCATGCTGGTGCTATTCACACAGACGTAACAGAAGGCTTTGGAAGTGCTGTGGGGCCTAAGACCTTTTACATAACCAGCTAGGCCGTCTAATGTCGGATTGGAGCAGGAAAAAAGGGAACACTGTAGTCCTGCATATTCTCCGTTATCCTCCATGTGACGGGCCCTCTCCTTCTCCCCACGTCCCTCCAATTAGCCGACGAGGAGCAGGGGGTGGGAAAGGGCCCCCCCCCCCCCACCGAACCTCGGGCACATTGAACATTCCCCTGGATCCCTGCCAAGACTCACAGGCAGCAGCTCGACAGTTCCAGCTTGGCATCCCCCAACCTCCCTACTGCCTGCAACCCCGGGCCTGGCTTACCCTTAGTGGGGCCCCCTTAAGCTCTGCCCCCTCCGGTGGCACACAAGTCGGACAAGAAGGTGTGGGGGGGGGGGGGGCTACACGGACGCCGCAACACACATTGGACTCTTTGGTTATAGCGCTCTGATACCTTTTCCGTGCAAAAGCCCTGTATATGAACTACTACATGTATATGACATACTAATCTACTGGAACAGGAGGTGAACCCGAGTACTACTGGTGACAACAACATACCCAGTGGCTGCCCTTCACATGAGACTGAAGCTATACTTTAAACCTTTCTTTTGAAGAACTATGCATTGTTTTACCATATTAAAAAAAATAAGTGAATGCAGCTCACACTCTTGACACACTTGGAAGAATCTACTTTGGCAGATAAGATTATGACTATCATAACACGAGATCCCCGTCTCATTCCAAAGCTGATTAGTGTCAGAACCCAGGATGCGTAAACCGTGTAGACCCGGTCACTAATGGCGTACATGCAACATGTACATCTATAACAACGGCCACACCAAACACAAGTGGCTGGCAAGTCTTTATACCCCCCCCCCCCCCGACTTCAAAATAGTCATCCAGAGAGCAGAGGAAGAAGGTAACAGCTTTTGGAAGCCTCCCATTGAATCCAGCTGATTCTACAGCCCCCCCCTCCTCCCCTCCCTACTGCAGCAGCACCCTGCGGCAGTGTTAAGCGCGTTATCTATCAGCACTGTGCCAGTGGTTTGAAAAGCCACATAATCACCGGCTCAGTGACTACCGCAGACAGACCTGGGCTAAGGTCAATGACGGGGAGAAGTGATAGACGACACAAGCCACTTTTCCAAAGCACAACTAAGTGGGATTTACCAGAGCAAACACAAAATGTCTGACGGGCGATGGAAAGAACTTTGTTTGTTTGATATTGCAGTCCCCGGGGGCAAATACACTACTGTGCAGAAATGAATTCTAAACTGAAGAACCAACACTGTTTATGGGGGACACAGTGACATAAGACAAGCAGGCTCACTCCAGTTACATTTAGCCCTGTAGTGGAAACCAGGCTAATGATAGCAACCCGAGGACTGGACCGGCCATGTTTTGTCTGCAAAGGGTCAGACGGGCCAGCTTTCAGTTTCCCTTCAAACAAACGACCCCGCCTCCTCGGTGATAAGGAGCTGGGGATGGAGGGTTTGTCCACGTGGCTTTGTAATAATACACTCTAATCAAAACAATGTCTGGATGCCAACAGCCTACAGCCCGGTTGGATGCAGAGCCAATGTGGGTTATGGGTTTTTCACTGCCAAAATGGCACAAGTAGTAATGTAATTCATGGAGTCTGGGCCCCAGCAAGAGACTGCATTTCTCATTTTGGGTCTTGATGCACTGACAAAGAACCAATTATAAATGGAGATAATTTATAGAGCTCTGTGCAATTTCTGTTTGTGGATTTGCAGATGTTGGCGTGCCTTCATAGACATTCCATGCCCTCCATCAGCGCTACCCATGTTCTCCCGGTGGGTAATTTATGCATTCCCCTCAGAACCAAAACCTTTCATACTGCTCTGTAGACAAAACATTTGCAAGAAGTTAAAAAAGAGAAGCACTGCTGACATCTTCATTGCAAAACACAACACGTCATGCCTCCAAGTGCTGGTGACCTAAGGCCTACACACACACACACACACACACACACACACACACACACACACACACACCCTGTATTTGACCTGGTGCCCTCCAGATAAGCCACCTGCTGTGGCTGCAGTGGTAGCTATGGTGCTAAAGCAGTTACGTCTGGGAAGGGGGTGAGTCTGACTGTGTGGTACTTCAGAAAACTAGCAGACTCCCTCCTCCCTCTTACCAGGCTTTAAGTCTCTTTTCTCCCTATTCACTCATTTTACGCACAGGGGCCCCTGCAACATCTTTTCATGGCCACCCCCTTACTGCCTGCTCTTCAGACTTTTGGACAGACGGGTGTGTGCATGGCAGGGAGGAGGACCCCTGACTATAGGTAAGAACAGGGCTCTGTGTGTGTGTGTGTGTCTGGGAGTCAGCTGGGTACTTTAGGGTATGCATGAGGCGGCTCACAACCTGAGCAACTGCAGGGCATTAACCAACTGCGGTTGGCTGTGAGCTTGACCTAAATGGCCGTGCACTCCCATGGCAAAAAGAACATTCCACGTGCGCAGTCGTTGGCCGATTCAGACACAAACACACAACACCTGCGACTATACATTCCAAGACATGTACACGAGCAGGCACGACTGCATCCACACACACGTCAATGTACCCCTACGCGCAAATAAATGCCCCAACAGTCTCCTGAGCCGACTGCAAATGCACACGGCGTGTGTGTCGCCTACGCCGCTGCTCGCATTTCATCACCTCACTGTGTGTGACGATAGAGATAAGACAGTGGTGACAGAGATGTCAGAGAGGGGGGGGGGGGGGAATCGAAATTGAACAGGAAATTATGTACTTCAATTAAGACATGCAGAGGAGATATTAAAAGCTATACTCCAGTGCCTGATGACAGGATGCAGGAAGGGGGGGATGCAATGGAAGGCGACAGTTCAATCAGTATCTCCGGCTTTCTCACCAAGCGGGGGTGGGGAGACAGAACAGTTATGTTTAATATTACTTGGAATTAGTATCGTGGAATGTAGTGTGCAAGATGCAGGATGCGATAACGCTACAGAATGAACCAAAGACCGAAGAGGAGTGATAGCGGAACCATTGGGTGAATATGTGTCACACTGAGGAAACACTGCAGCCTACTGTACACAGTAACACTGGCAACGATCACGCTATAGATAACAGTGTGATTAAAGCCAATCACCATTACCTTTAACCTGATTACTACAGAAACATGGGAGGGGGCAATGCAATTCTCTCAGTCGGTTGGAGAAACCATCACATCACACGCTCACATGTGCCGAGTGTGTTCCCTGTCTACTCGGCCAATCACGAAAGAGCTGTGATATAACAGAAAAGTTACCAACGTTTAAATTAACATTTCAGTCATGGACCATAACGAATGTCCCAAAATCAGCACATGGGACAATACCAAGGATCAAATCAGTCTTTTCTCATTGATCCAACATAAAAGCACTGTTCCTCTTTTTTTTTTTTTTTGACAGGGGACTCCTCTCAAAAACACCTTGAACCAGACTGTCTCAAATCTACACAGTGAGCCCCATGCTACTTCCTGGGGGATATACAACACGAATATTGTGAAGAAATCGCTTATTTTGCGGTGACACCACAAATAAGCCCATGTCGGTGTTAATGGGTGTTTTAATTACGCAACACTTGACAGTGATTGCTGTAGTGTTAACGTCGTAAGTGGTTGTAACGGAGACTGGCTGCATCATAGAGCCACTGGGTTAGCCAATGCTCTGCAAACCAATGTCGCGATATGACATTAGTTTGATTAGCGTTATTTATGCGACATTGCAACTAGCTTCTGAACACGTTTAAAAAAACAAAAAAAAAAAAACAAACAAAAAAAAAAAAAAAAAAGCACTGATCGGCATCAGTGGCATTCATCAAGTTATCACACGAGAGAGAAGCTATGAATAGGACACTTACCTTGCGTTTAAACCACAGTTTTGGCAGCTTTCAGTGTAGTCGGTTCATGGCAGGAAAAAAAAAATGCAGAAAAGCATTCTCCAATGTCTTTTCTCAAGTTACCCGTAGAGAGATGGAGCAGAGATTCAGTCGCAGTTAAAGTCGGACTTGGCAAGATAAGCCGACTGGTGACAAGATAGCGAGGTAAACAGCGGCTACTCAGCCAGACACACACACACACACGCACACACACACACGCACACACACAGCAGGTACGGTAATTCACGCTTTGAACAAAACCAAAACAGGAAAAAAATCGTCGAAAAACAGTTCGTTAAAACGTCACGCTATAATGGGGGGAGGGGGCGGGGAGGCGAAGGAAACGCCACTGACAACAAAAACAAAAACAACAACAACGAAAAACCCCAAACACGAATAAAAATGACTTTCAAAAGCAGCGAAATAGTGCGTCAGCTGCTTGACGCTGTAACTCGTTGCGAGGTTTTGCAAAAGCGGAGAAAAATCAGGCGGTTATCGGCGTAAAAGAGCGAGCCGACGGCCGTCAGCCAGCCAACTTGTTTTAAAGTGCAAAATAAATGTTTTGTTGTTGTTGTTTAGGTCGCCAGCTGGACGACTAGCGACGGGCTGGCCACCGCGAATGCAAAGTGAGAAACGACTCCGGGGAAATACATTCTGTGTGGATCCAGACAGCGGAGCGGACGGTCATGGTAGGCGTTCAGTGAGCTCTCGTTGACAGTGGTCTCGCAGCCATTTTGTTCAAACTAACAACACCGCAGTCTCGCTCTCCTCCTCCCAAGGAGCACGCAGACCAGGAAGTGCCTCCAGATACGTCACTCCCGACCAACCAAAACGGAGGACACCGACTCCGCCCGCCGCACTCCGACTCCGCCCTCCTCCGCTTGCCAGACCTCCACAGCAGTCCACAGAGGATGGACAGACAGGCGGCTCTTATTTCCAATCTAGTGGCTGAAGCTGAATACTGTGAGCTTTAAAAAAGAAGCAAACGTGATTTATTAATAATCCTGCTATGGATTTTGGGAGGATGATGTTGCAGGGAAAGAAAGTACCTAAAATAGTTACTTCAACACTTTCTCCTGTAGTGACACTAAATACTTTCCAGTATAGAAATAAGACACCATAATTCACGACCAAAATAGTGCAAAAGAGACACAGAAATAGATAAGTTAAAAAAGTCTACAAGCTGTTTTACATCATGGACTTTACTGAGCAGACTCAAATGTCTCTTAATAAAGGGCCCACGCCAAGTTTTCTCAACCCAAGATGAACTTTGTCAAGAATCTCTCGATCACATGATGTCCAGAAACATGTGGCGATCATTCCAGGCTGTTCACAACATGATGGATGAGGTCGCCCTCGCACCCCATGAACCGCGTCTGCAGCCGTCTCGGAGAAAGAAAATGTGTGGCCCCTGTCCATTCTCTGCGCTCTTTTCTTATGGAAATGTCGGCTCTGTGCACAGACAAACACACACACTCGCTCTCTCTCTCACACACACACACCCACACACAGTGAGGTGGGGTCAAGGCTGCAGTCCACAAAGGGGAAGTCTGACCAGTGAGAACTCTCTCAGCAAAGCTCTGGGCTACTATACATCAACTGGGAGAGACTACTAATGAGAAAGCCAGGGGCCCCGGCCCACAACTCTCTCTCTCTCTCTCTCTCTCTCTCTCTCTCTCTCTCTCTCTCTCTCTCTCTCTCTCTCTCTCTCTCTCTCTC